GGAAGCCCCCGGAGAGGCCTGTCTGTTCCCTTGCCAAGGGCTGGCTTGTGCTGACCCACTGGCTGGGCTCCCCCGAGCTCTTCGGCACTGCCCCATCTGTGACGGCCTGGGGCTGGGGGTTGTACAGCCCCTACGCTGCAGCTGTGTCCTGAGGGAACCAGCTGAATTCCCAACTCATCCCTGGCCCCTGCCCGCACTGTAGGCTCTGGCTGCACGCACCTGCCCTGCCTGCTCTCTGTCCTTGGCCTGCGTGCCCTGTGCCTGTGCCAGCCTTGACCTGCCCTGCCTAGCTCCCAAGACCGTCCCCCTTACCCCTAGCATCTCCCCCTTGTCCCCGGTGCTCAGGCTCTGGACTGAGCTGGTTTCCCACCACGTGAGCCAGGTCTTCTCCAAGGAGATGGGGCTGCTTGCTCATGCCTCGCCTCTCCACAGACACGCTGCTGGGCACCCAGATAGCCCAGCTGACCGGGAATGATGTGGACTCAGGCCCCACGCTCTCCTACACGCTCATGCTGGATGGTGATGCCGTGGGCACGTTCAGTGTGCTGCGGTATGGGGGACGCATTGCCCTGACAGGGCCACTGGACTATGAACAGCGCAGCCACTACACCCTCACCCTGCGTGCCTCTGACACCCGCCACGAGACCGAGGCCAACCTCACCGTCGTTGTGGAGGATGTGAATGACAATGCGCCGACTTTCAGCCAGGGCTTCTATCAGGTACGGTGCACGCAGGTGTGCCAGGCAGCGCGGGCTGTCCTGCACAAGCCCCTCTGCTGCTCCTGCCTGGCTCACAGAGATCCCCTTGAGCGTGGGCCTGAGCCCGTCCTGGCCCCTCTCCTCCTGGGCTCCCATCCACATCCTGACACCCCTTGTGCTGTCACTGCGGTGTGGACAGGAGGCTGAAACCAGGCACGTAGCACTGGGATCAGCAACTGCGGGCCTGCACAGCTGCATGCAGATCACAGAATCGTTTAGGTTGGAAAAGACCCTTAAGATCATGGAGTCCAACCGTTAATCTAACCCTGCCAAGCCCACCACTAAACCATGTCCCTAAGCACCACATCTGCCTGTCTTTTAAATACCTCCAGGGACGGGGACTCAGCCCCTGCCCTGGGCAGCCTGGGCCAGGGCCTGACAGCCCTTTGGGGAAGAAGTTTTTCCCAATACCCAACCCAAACCTGCCCTGGCGCAGCTTGAGGCCGTTCCCTCTCGTCCCATCGCTTGTTTGTTGGGCACAGGTTACAGGTGTTACTTGTTACAGGTGTTCGGCACTGCGTTAAAGCCTGTATTTCTTGTGCTAATAAGGCGTCTTGCTCTAAGCACCCCTGGAAGTAGTAGCTGTGAAGGTGGAGCAGGAGAAATGGGTAAAAAAACACACAAAATCTGGCCTTGGGGGTCTGAGGAAGCTGCAGGAACCCATCTCCACCAGGAACTGGTGGCCCTGGGTTATTTTGGCCATGGGAAGCAGCGCTGCCGAGTGGACATGGCCGCTCAGGGAGGATCCAGTCCTGCCCAGCTTCTCCATGTGGGTCCTGGAGAGCAGAAAGCTGAGCCCCACAGACAGGGCTGGCAGCCAGAGCTGGACCGCTTCGTGTGGGATTTGGGGAGCAGCGGGACCAGAAGCAACATGTCTGGAGGCGAGGTGGCTTCTCCAGGGGTGACTGTGTGACCGGTGGCTTTCCAGCCGACGGCGTTTCAGGCCCAGCAGCTCCATGCTGCGGAGATGAGGGGCGGCCGAGGTCTGAGCGATTTGGGATGGTGGCTGGGGGCCGGGGGGGTTCCTGCAGGCAGGGGCTACGCTGGTCATTTAAGATGGCTTTGTGAAGCTGGAGGAATGTAAAGCAGCTGGTGGGGAGAGCGAGCTCGACCGCTTTGTCTCGCTGAAACCTCTGCCGCTGCGGGTACAGGGGGGATAGCTGCACCCCGCTGCCCCGGGAGGGACGGAGCCCGTCTGCGGCACTGGGAAGGGAACTGGGGTTTACTGGGAAGGGAGTCAGGGCACTGGGGGACCTTTGTGGCAGAGCAGAACCCTGGGAAGAGAGGATTTTTGCTTTGCCCCGCTTGGAGCATGGGATGCTCCGGGCCGTGCCAGGGTCGGCTTTGCCCTGGGATGGGGCAGAAGCATCTGCGTGGGCTCAGCCCCAGCGTGGGGGCTTAAACCTCTCCCTGGCTCAAGCGTCTGAGAGCCAGGTGGGGTTTGGCAGGGAGAAGAGGTGCAGCCCGGCCTTGCGGGGGTTGACATGTCCCCTGAGGCTCACCTCCCGGCTCCCAGCACCCCAGGACGGGGGCCAGGCCGGCAGCTCCTGCCGGGACCCCC